TTTTTTTTTTTTTTTTTTTTTGAAAAAAAAAAAACAGTTTAAGTAGAAAAGTGTTTTGGCTGGAAGTTCTTTTAAACAGTTTTCAGAATAAAGTAGCAACAAGATGGAAATAATAATTTGTTGCTTTCATATGTTCTCTTTGATTTTTTGCTCTAAATTATCTGTTCATATAAAATCTTTGATTGTTTTTTAAGTGCAAGTTGATTCAGTTTGTTATAGTTTTAATTAATATGCAGAATAAATAAATGATAAAAACGCTACAAAAATTATCTATCTAAACAGTTTTTTATTTTTTAGATTTTTATTCCTTTTGAAAAAAAGAATCAGTTTAAAACAACTGAAAAATATACATACCCAAAACGCCCTTTGATTTTACCTTTTTTTAACACTTCCCAACAGAGAATATAAATACATATGTATAATAAATAAAATAATGTTTCAGGTTGGTCTTCCTGGTTTTACTTCAATGCCTTTTGCTCTAAATATGCTAAGCAAGCATGAGCGCGCATCCTATTGTAACCACCATTGGGAGAACCAGTTCAAAAAGGTTGGTTTCTTTTTACAAGCAAACAATTGATATGATGTGCAGTATGAAACGGAAGTTAAACGTAAAATATTTGTCATAGTAGTGTTGAAATATTGATTAACAATTGATATGATGTGCAGTAGTGTTGAAGTATTGATTAACAATTAAATTAACCATAATCTATTAGTTTATACTTTGGGTTTAGTGGTGATTTGATTGACAGGTATCAGAGCAGCATATCCTATATTCAATCCTTGTATTGTAATTTTTTCTCTCATCAATATTGGTACATTTGTTGGACATTGGGTCTGGTCGTGGTTTAATAATATTCAAACAAAGTATTTTTTTTTGTTTTTATTTGAGTGAAAAGTGGGTAAGAAAACCTCTTTTAAAAACAATACGAGAGATTACTGGAAAAAAGCCCATGTAGATTACGTAGGAGTAAAAGTAACGCCATGCAGGGCTCCATTAATTTGTGAGATGCTACCCATGTAGAATGCTTTCAACGTAATGCATTAATAAGAGTATTGAAAATTGTAAGCAAATGGACAACTTTTCAGGTTCTTGTTTTGGTCACATGTTGCTTGCTTATCAAAAGAAACTTTGCAGATTTCTGTATTGGAATTTTCTCGTGATCGCAAGATGATGAGCATTTTATGTAGCAGAAACCAGTCACATATCCTTTTCTCCAAAGGTGCTCCTGAGAGCATTATTTCGAGATGCTCAAGTATCCTTTGCAATGAAGATGGTTCCACCAGTGTTTTAACTTCTAGTATTCGTGCTGAACTGGAAGCAAGATTTCAAAGGTTAGAATTTGTGGTTTTTTATCAGTGTAATACATTAATCCTCATGCTCTTCCCCCTTCCTTCCCTCTTTCTGGCTGTATCTTTTTATTTCAACCACCAATGTGCATATGTGCCCCCCATCTTCATATGCTAGAATCTCCCTACTCTTTATTTCCATTGTGTACAAAGAGAAGCAAAGGAAAACATTACTTCCCGGACAGGATTGAATTTACATTTTAGTTGTTATTTACTTCATTAATTTTCTTTAAAAAAATTATAGGAAAGACAAATAGGTTAGGTATCGATGTTAAAAGTTGTAAAACAGGAGTTAGATCTCTTTGAAATGGCGATGGACACAATTAAGAACTCTTCAATGGACATTTACCAGAAACAAATGGTCATTCAAAACCTCTGGTTACCAGTGATTTAAAAGTCTTTTTTTTGGGTTCATGGCAATGTTGATACACCAATCACAAGAGGTTTATGCTTACCTGAGAATGCAGGCAGCAGATGAGTAGTTGTGCCTCATATATTAATGTACTTGCCAGTAAAATTATATGAATGCATGTCTTGGACAGTTTTGCAGGAAATGAAATGCTTAGGTGCCTGGCTATAGCAATCAAATTGCTTCCTGTGAGTCAACAGAGTTTATCATTTGATGATGAGCAAGACCTAACATTCATTGGGTTGGTATGCTTTCTTTTTTAAATAGAACGCTAAGTTTATTTGCTGCCTCATTGTATCTATTGTCTTTATTGAGCTTCTATATGGCTGCTGAATACGGATTGATGCATTCTTACAACAAATTCAATATTTTGCCACATTGTCTACAATTTTGTTCTCTTTAAAATTGTACATCAGTACAAGGTTAACAGTTTTATTTATTGTGCAGAGAGAATAGTTTGGGTGTATATGTTATTCTAAGAGATAATCTTCTGCATTTGGGTAGATGGACAAAGGCAAATAGATATCCGCCATATCACTAAGTTCTGTTACCTTTAGTATGAAAGATTTAGGTACTTAGTTAATTGAAGATATATTTCTTTGAGTGCGACCTTGCAAATACTAATTTGAGACTTTTTTTGTCCTGGTTTATTTCACACCTATTTCATAGAATCAGAACTTTGGGTTTTTACATTCTTGTACTTCCATGAAGACTCTAGATCTATCTAGAGGCTGCATTCTTTGTTTGGATGAATGCTTACTATCTTAAATATGCTACAAAACACGCTTGAACCTCACTAGTCTAACAGAAATGTAAAGCTCTCAAACTTTACAGAAACGTGAAGTAACCTTTCATGCTACACTAAGCGAGATTAGAATCCGCTAAGACTTCAAAAGCTTCATAGAAGAATGATTTTCAACTTTATTTGACATTCATGTGTAGAGAAGATCATATAGAAAACGAATCAGAAAACAATATAAATCGAAGCTGATTTTTTGGGGGAAAAAATTGCATTAGATTTGTTGTAATGACCAGAGTAAGGATGGTTGCGACAAATGTTGACCTTTTCCTGAGCTTAGCTTTAAATTATTTATCAAAATTATTTAACTTAATAAGTCTATACTATGATCCAAGTAGCTGTCCAAGTTAATCCATCACAGAAGAGTCTTCAAGAAGGAAAATAAAGTGAAGCTATTCAAGAAAATATGGTTGGTATTAATAGCGGAAGTCATCATCAAATTAATGCTGAAAAGCAAGCATATCCTAATGGTTGCTTTGATGCAATGTATTTAAAGAGTTCATTACAGCTGCAATGCAGTCAAAAAGAGAAATTTGTTGCATGAGAACTGCAGGAGTTTGAGATACATGAATAGCAAGAGGACAACCATGGATGCCATTTTTACTCCAACGTCTGTTTTGGTTGTTTCTGTTACATATTATTTAGTTGAAAAGGGTCAATAGAATCTTCTATAACAAAGTTGTTGATTGAATAGAAATTTGGGATAAACTTATTGTTGCACATTAATGTTATAAGTCGTATCAAGGGGACAACAGTGATCTTTACTTGCCTCTGGATTTTTGGAATCTTTTGGGATTTATGCTTATTTCCATTGCTATCTTATTTGTACTATTTTCCATGTTTTACCATTCTTGTATTTCATTTGACCTAGCTCAAATTTGTCATTGGTCTTCATTTATGCTCCTCCTTTGTCTGGCTGGAGCCCCTAAATTTGTTTTGAGTGCCTTTGTTGCGTGAATGTAGTTTCCTTACCGGATTCTTAGAATTTATCTGTTTACCTCTCATTTTAAAGGTTGGAATGCTTGATCCACCGAGAGAGGAAGTGAGAAATGCTATGCTTTCATGTATGAATGCTGGCATACGTGTTATAGTCGTAACTGGGGACAACAAGGTTTCTCTAAATCCAGCCTTTCACTCTATTAATTTTATGTAACTTTGTTTATAGCCAAATCTTTAGAGGTAACTTGCTGATTTAACATGCATTTGTAGTCAACTGCTGAATCACTCTGCCGCAAGATTGGTGCTTTTGACCACTTGGTAGATCTAGCTGATCATTCTTTTACTGCTTCTGAATTTGAAGAGCTACCTGCAATGCAACAAACAATGGCATTGCAACGAATGGCACTCTTCACCAGGTACTTTGGACATTCGTCTATAATTAGAATCCAAGTACTCGTATATGTCATTTTCTTCAATGAATAATAAATTCGTTTTTCAGTACACGTCTTTAATAGAGCTCATTTTTTTCAGGGTTGAACCTTCTCATAAGCAAATGCTTGTGGAGGCCTTACAACATCAGAATGAAGTGGTAACTTTACGTCTTTCTCATTAGAAATTTTGCAGGAATATCACTTCGTAATTTTAGGCATGTTTGGTTATTATTCTTTGAATTTTACATGTATTGGTATACTAGTGCCAACTAGTTACCACTTAACAAATACATTGTAGTATTATAATCGTTTTTTTTCCAACATATCTCTAATATGTTCCTTTTGTTTTGACATTTTTTTAAAGTATGAGACAATTTCATTGAGATTTGAAATTTACAAAAGGGAAACTAAAAGGAAATACTAATCTGTATGCATTAACACGCTCATGTATAGATGTTACATTCTTCTAATTTCTCAGTTTTTGTGGATTTCTTAGGTTGCTATGACAGGTGATGGTGTCAATGATGCACCTGCACTGAAGAAAGCTGATATCGGTATTGCCATGGGTTCAGGAACAGCAGTTGCCAAGGTTGGTGTGGTCACTTGCAAATTTTCGTGACGTTCTTTAATTTTTTATGTTTCCAAACCTGTTAATTGGGCTTGCTGCTTTTTTAGCTGTCTCCTTGAATAATTAATATTAAGTTGCCCTTTAATTGTCTAGCAATTCCTTTCCGCACACAATTTGGTAATATGCGTTAGTACTTTAGTTATTTTAAATTTTACACCACCTGGCTTTCTTTTATTATTCTTATTGTTAATGCTAACTATTTTCTTGCCATTTTTCTTCTTTTTTCTCTATACCTAGAGTGCATCTGATATGGTCTTAGCTGATGACAATTTTGCTACTATTGTTGCGGTAAGCTCCTGCCTCATGTCCTAAAAAATTTCCGGATAAAGGTGATTGTTTATTTTTTAGTTTATTTATTCTTAAACTTTGTGACCGGTTTCAAACTCGATAGGCTGTTGCAGAGGGCAGAGCTATTTACAATAATACTAAGCAGTTCATCAGATACATGATCTCTTCAAATATTGGTGAAGTAGTTTGTATATTTGTGGCAGCTGTTCTTGGAATACCAGAGACTCTTGCCCCTGTGCGTTTTTTCAGCTTTTATTTAATGCATCTACTTCTTTGATAATAGTTAATGTATCTGCAAAAGTTGAGTGTACTTCCATTGAGGTGGCAAAAGAACTTTCCTCATTGAAGAAAATGATTACAGGTGCAACTTCTTTGGGTCAACTTGGTCACTGATGGATTGCCTGCAACTGCAATTGGATTTAATAAGCAAGACTCCGATGTAATGAAATCTAAGCCTCGAAAGGTAATGAATTAGTGAGGCTTGCTTTCTTTAAATGGTTATATAGATTTGTCATCTTTGTGGGATCGTTACTTGTGAAGTTCAGTGATTAACGTAAGATTTATGGTTATATTCTTCCCTTCACGTTCATCTTCTTTACTGCTTTTGCTGTTAGATCTATGATTTCTTGCTTATATGACAGATTATAAATTTGTCCTCTCTTGTTTATTACTTGTGTGGTGTGCTAACATTGTAGTATCTAGATTCTTCCCCTATGAAGATCTTCTTTACTGTTCTCGTTCCTGTTACATGATGTAAACTGTAACTGATTTTATCTTCTTAAAACAATAGTTTGCCTCTTTTATGAAGGTATTCCTAATCCAATCGATTTGATCTTGCAGGTGAATGAAGCTGTGGTGACTGGATGGTTGTTCTTTCGTTATTTGGTAATTGGAGGTAGGGCAATGAATGACCTATACTTGGTTTCTTCCATGGAATGTTTGTTGCTAGATATCTATGGCTCTAGCTTTGTATCTTTGTTGTTTCTACATGCAAAATTTACATTCATTTTGGGACGCAGATTGTGACTGATCCATGTGCCTTGCATGGCTAGATAGACTGCTACCTATGACCGTATACTTGGTTACCTTCACTTCTCCTTGTATTTTCTCAACTGTGAAGTAAAACTGAACTGTTGGGATTCAAGTTTATTTCCTCGCGATAAATTACTAAAGATTTAATTGGGCTGCAAAAATTTCAAAAGTATAGGTTGCCACACTCTTCTCTTTTGTTACTTCACTGTTATTTATTCTATCAAGTTCTTGTGGTGAGCCTAATTTTCATCTTATGCATTAATGATAGTTCTCCCAGTGGTACAGAATTTTCTATGTGGAACAGAAATGCTTCTCATTCTTGTTTATATAGAGCTTTAATTCTCAGCACATTCAAATTAAATACTGTTCTCAGCTGTTAAAAGCTGGTAAAAAGTTTTTGAATGGTTATATCATTGGTGCAGCGTATGTTGGTCTTGCAACAATTGCTGGCTTCATATGGTGGTTTATATACTCCGACAGTGGTCCTAAGCTACCTTACGCTGAGTTGGTAAGATTTTATTTGTTGCTGTCTTCCTATGGCATTGTGCAGTTTATTCCTGGTTTATCATATGAAGATAAGCATATGTATGTTGGTTATCGTTGCAAATGTGTGGGTGGGTGGGTGGGGGACCTTATACTAACAGGTTATTTTGACTGAGTGACTAAACGATTGGACGGAAATGCTATTTGACCTAGGTTTTCAAAATAAAGTTCTCCAACCTTTTTCAAACATTTGTTATTATTATTATTATTTTTATTTCTAACTCGATTCCTTCTCCCTCTCGTTCTCTTCTCCCCTCCACTCTCTCCCTCTCGTTTTCTCCTCCTCCTATTCTCACTCTCATTACTTCCTCTCTCCCTCTCTCACCTGTTTAGCTGCCCCCATGACGATTGCCCCTCTCCCTCGTACCGTCTTCTTCCTCTAGTGAACCTCTGGCAGTAGCCACCCCACTCCCATGTCTTTTCCATTCTTTTCACTTTCTGTTTGCATTTTTCCTTCTAGGTTTGTTTTAATCCATATTTGAAACAAAAATGGATTTGAGTTATCTTAAGAAAATGAAGAGAGAGAGGAGGAAACAAGAGTGAGAGGGAGAGGGAAAGGAGGAGTCTACTGAGAAAAAAGGAGTCAGAGCGAGAGGGAAAAACATTAAAAATATTTGTGCATAGAGTAGGAGTGATTTTAAATAACTTCTGAATTTTTCCCTGCGCACTTGTAATTTTCAAGAAAAGAAAAATTGGATTTGGTTTTGGTTTTGCCCCATTCTCAATTTGAAATATTTCTTTCAGATGAGTTTTGATACTTGTTCAACAAGAGCGACAACATACCCTTGCAGTATATTTGAGGATCGGCATCCGTCAACTGTTTCTATGACTGTACTTGTTGTCGTCGAGATGTTCAATGCTTTAAATAATCTAAGCGAAAATCAATCTCTTCTGTAAGTATTCAGTTACATTTATATTTTGAGGTTACTGCAAATTATTAAGTTTGTGAATTGTTGAATGAAGCAAAGGACAATTAAGACGGTGATTTTCCTACCGTTTTTAATGCTAGTCTAGAAAGCTAGGTTAGTTTTGATCAATGTATGTGGTTAATATGAAGACATTTTTCAGTGTTATCCCTCCCTGGAGTAATTTATGGCTCGTTGCCTCCATTGTCATAACCATGATCCTTCACATGCTTATTATGTATGTGCGACCACTAGCTGTTCTTTTCTCTGTAAGTTTTTTCTTTCTCTTGATCCGCTTGCTTCCTTTCGTGGCAGCTTCATATAATTAAGTGAATCAGTTTGACAAACTGTAAAATTGTTTCCTTACAGGTAACGCCATTATCTTGGGCTGAATGGACGATCGTTTTGTACCTTTCGTTTCCTGTAATATTCGCACCCCTTGCCTCATTTTCTGTTGTACAACTTCAGTTTTTCTTATTCCCTCAGGATCATGGTTTCGTTTCCTGTAATAACTGTTTTAGCTAAACTCTTGGAAACCCCTCTGACTGTTCATACTTGATGCAGGTTATAATTATTGATGAAATACTGAAGTTCTTTTCACGACGCTCCAGTGGCAGTATGTTTTCCTCACCTGTTCGATAAAATCTATTATTGTTAATGTTAGAAATCGTGACTCTCCACGATGGTATGATATTGTCCACTTTGAGTTTAGCTCTCGTGGCTTTGCTTTAGGTTTCTCCAAAAGCCTCATACCAATGGAGAGTATTTCTTATAAACCCATGATCATTCTTTAAATTATAGCCAATTTGGGACTCTTTCCCAACAATCCTCACCAAAGTTAATGCATGTTTGCTTGTGTCTCAAGTATTTGTGGTTTATTACACTATCTACTATTAGTGAAAGTAATAATCTCTAAACCTTTCTGTTAATCAGATAATTTGATGCAGTAATAGGTAAAATGTGGTGGAACTTATTGATCCGTGTTCTAATTTCCCTTTTTGGTTGGATAATTGTAGGGTTGAGGCTTCCATTTAGATTCAGAAGGCATGAGTTGCTTCCAAAGAAGGAATTGCGTGACAAGTAGGAATGACACTACCTTGACATACAACTGGTCACACTACTACTTTGTTATACTCATGGCTGAATAGCAAGCATGAAGATTGATTGATATCATTCTATCATCGAATCTCAAGAGTTTGACCCGAGCGTTCACTAGTATTCGTTAATCTTATAATGGAATACCCCCCCTCAAGTCTGAAGCTTAACGCCCCTTCGAGCGACGTTCATGAGGATAAAGCGGCGAAGATGAATGTGTGGGATTTTACTAATCTTTTTAGTTTTCTTCATCAATTTAAAGTTTATCATAACGTGAAAAATTTACATGGCTGCTTTTGGAATCCTTTTCATATAGTAAGTCTTAATAGAACAATGTTCACTGCAATTTATAATTTCCAATCCCATTATGGACGAGCTTTTGATGATAAATGGGTCAATTTCAGAGATGATTGGTATGAGCCTTCATCAGTTTTTTTTTTTTCTTTCATTTATATTCTAATATTATAATAAATTATGTACGGCTTTTTTTCTCTCGTATCAGACCTAATGTTCAGCTATGTGGGTAGCATGCATACCCAAGGGCGCGTAGAGTATAGTAGTATGGTGCTTCTTGAAAACAAAGTCTTGTTCTGCTTGCCTTGCTCGAGGCTTTGTCTGATCTTCCAAGAATATGGTTCATTCTCTATAAACATTTATTACTTATATTTATTTATTAAAACAATTTTTTTTTAATAAAATTATATTTAAAAATAAAAATAAATGAGAAATTTTGTGGGGACAATGAATGAAATAAATGGAAATGGGGAAGATTTTCATGAACATCTTACAATTAAAAACACTATTGCTAGGAAATGTTTCCACATTCTTACAAGAATATTTTGTTCTCTTTTCTAACAAAATTCCGAATAGGATCTAGCTCCAATCCTAACCAACATAGGATCTCACAAAATTCCGAGTAGAATCTATCTCCAATTCTAACCAACGTCAGGTCTCACAATCTAAATTCAGTGTAGAATCTCACAAAACACATCCTATTATTGTCCTATGCCAAAATTGACGTGCCCTCCCTTTGAATTCAAATCATCAAACCAAGAAACTAAAGAGGAAAGTCATCTTGTGTTGGCTATTAATGGTTCCAACATCAACTAGATCATTATCTGATTCTGACGCCAAAATTGAAAACTAAATAAAGTGAACTTCAGATCAATTCAGAATCAATAATTTATTTTCCATGTTTTGATTACTAATAATCTACCAGTACCCACAAAATTAAAACAAAAACTTAATAATATTTACATGAACACAGAAGAACAAAAGCAACAAAATCCCCAATTAAAGCGGGGAAAAGCAGAAAAATGTGAACGGAAATCCCTCCTCTTCGTTTCCAAATTATTCATAAATTTCAGGAACAATTCTCCGAACCAAAGGCAACGAAAATCAAGCCCCAGATTTTGTACTCGTCACAGCGTAGCTTCTACTCCTTGGATAAACCAAATCACCCTTCTCCTCCACGCCATCTTCAAACTCGCAAGCACTATCTTCATCGATCCTACCCATTCCAACGCTGCAACTCTTAGGCAGCCCATTGGACTGTCTCACCCTCTGTGGATAAACAACATCGGCGTCGACATCTTTAATGTCCATACTTCTAACAGAAGCGGCCTTAACAAGCTCCCTGAAATCATCGGTTTCATTGGATCTGCAGGATCGCGAGCTGTAACTCTTGGGCAAGACGGGCATTTGGCCAGATGGGTAGCCATGGCTAACTCTCGGAGCACAATCCATGATGCTTCGTACATACAAATCCTTGGCCTTACCAAGAGCTCTGATGGGTAGAGTAACGAATCGCATAAATTTGCTCCGATTGTGCGCTTTGGTGCTCATTTGGAATGCCCACAAAGTGTTCGATGAAATTACTGAGAGAGATTTGGGAACAGAGATGGTCGATTACAGGGGAGGGAATCGAAGTTGGATCAAATAAATCAAAAAAAAGAGGAAAAAGTGGGAATTGGAGCAGCCTGATTTGGAAGAAAATTAGGCGATGAAAGCGAGCAGGTGTGGGGAATTGGCGTAAAGCGTCGGCGAGAGCTAGAAATAATGGCGGAGTTGACTTGTGAAGATTCACAAACAGGTGAATTTTTTAAATGTTCTTCAGCCTTATCCAACCCATTTTGATGAATCATTCATCGCCTTTCTCAATGTTTTAAAAATGTTAGATTTGAAATTTTCATGGGAATTTGATCTTAGTCAAAAAATTTAAACACGAAACCTCTTCTCTGCAATTTAATATTTCAAAGTTTTTGACTTTTTCAGAAATATCTCTAAAATGATTATATTATTTGCCTAAAACCTTTTAGCTTACCATTTACATTTGAAATGGATAATATCATCAAAAACTCTAAAAATTTCGATTTTTGGAAACCATCATGATCATCCAATTAGAAGGGTTTCAATTTTTTGAAATGAACTATTTGAAGAACTATTGATTCTAATAACTGATTGCAGAGTTGATCATTCGAACCTTTCAATTCATAGATATTGATCTCGGACCTATGAATGGAGATATTCTCGAAACCCAGGAAGAAAAAAAGGGAGTGAGTTCAACAAAAAAAAGAGAAAAAACTTGAATAAAAAAGAACTAAGTGACTTAGACAAATCTTTCTTTATGGATAACCTCAGACCAATCAATCAAATATTAATTAATAAGTGACTTAGAAATGAAATGTTCATTGAAATTCTTGTATGCATTAGGAACGAACCATTTCTTCTGATCCTTTTTCAAATTCAATAAATATTGATTGATAGTATATTTCATTTCTTTTTTATTATGTATTTACCTCCGAAATGGATAATATCATCACAAACAATTATTACTTTGATTAATTATCTCAAATAAAGTAAAATAATAAATATTAATTTTGGGCATATGGGCAATGAATGGAGATATTTAAAAAAATGGAAATAAATAAAATATTGGCGGCGGAACTCAAATAAAATCATGAAAAAACCAGCAATTATTAGATAAAGATGAAGCCTTAATAGACCCACAAATTCTGTTGGCAGCCGCATGGAATTGAAATACAATATCTTATCATAAACCAATAAATATAAATCAAATTTAAGAGTTACTTTGAATTAATGTGTGTATGTATTTAATGGGAAGGATCATGTTCATATCAATCCTAATTAACTTTCATTATTTAAATGCATACCTAACTCCATTCATTAATAGCCTTATAATTGTTGGGTATAACCTTAATGCAATTATATTGATGTGATTATCTACCTGATTGATATAAAATGGAACGTATTTACTAACCATATTATATCTAATTTCCTTCGAATAAATTATTAAATTAGGGTATTCTAGTAGGTTATAACGTATCTCAAATGGGTTTATTAATAGTGGGCATATTTCCATTACTACGAGCTGCTTCAACAAAGATGAAATTTAATGACATGTCTCTATCCATGATGAAATTTAATGACATGTCTAGTTGTCCAAGTAGAGAGTATCTCGTTTAAAATATCCCACGTATTACTTATATATTAGTTAATTTAGTTTGACTTTAGTCAATCACATCAAAGAAGACCGACAAATAGTAGAAATTTGTCACTGTATACCTGACATGTCTATTATGCGAAAAAAAATAAAATAAAATAACTTCAAAATATTTCATAACAATGTCGTGGGCTTACGTACAGTCACGGAAAGCCCATACAGACATTAAAATGGGCTTCAACGAAGGCCCAATTAATCCGCAAAATTAAAGGCAGGCACAGTCAACACCAACAGTGGATAAGATCAAACAGCAACGAATCTATTAGATTTTTGAAAAACAAGGATTTAAATATTTAATAAATTAATAAATCAGTTTCTGAAAAGGAGAGATATATAATATAAATAAGTTAAATAAATTGTAAAAAGTGCCAGGTGAGCAGGTTTGACCGATTCTGAGATCTAGAAGACCGGTTTTATTTTGTTTACACGACCAAATCTCGGTCTTCGCTCTTTGCTTTGACTGCTTTGCTTCAAATTACGAAGAAAAGCTTCCGCTTTTCCATTCCATCTACTGACACGTGTTCTTTTATTACCAAAAAAAAAAAAAAAAAAAAAAAAAAAAAAAAAAAAAAAAAAAAAAAAAAAAAAAAAAAAAACAAAAAAAAAA